GATCCAGAGTGCTCCCCAAATTGCTCAAACCTTGATGAACATAAATCTTCAGAGATTGAAGTTGTTGAAGCCTCACTGTCTGATAAACATTTTTGGAAAAACATTGCTGATATTGTGAATCATAATGTTGTTCAGAGAATTGGTTTTCCTGCTTTTGATAAAATAAGGTGGGATGAATTTGACTTGTTAAATAAGATTGGGTTGCAGTCTCAACAAGTTGCAGACGCCAGTTATATTGAATCTGGACTTGCTACTCCTGAAAAGCAGGAAAGGTTGGTACCACAAATATCATTTCTTACGCTTCAGTTTATTCCCATTTTTCAGAATGTGAGGTCAAACTGTCAGAACGTTACAATCACGTGGGAAGAGAAAACTAGCAATATTTTTAAAGCTTATAATGTCGTCGTACCTCAAAACAGGGGGGAATGGGGTTGCAAATGGGTGTGTTGGGACTGAGGCTGATATATAACAAGTGCCGAAATGGACAGATTTGGAAATCGGCGTTGCACATTTTTCATAAAGGCCGGCATTTGGATCTACCATTGCGCCCCCTTAGTCGGGTGGACGTGATTCCGATTCCTAAAATGGAGGAAACAGAACTAGAACCTCTTGGGACCGACCGATATGATTTTGGTCCGGTTCCACCGGTGGTTCCCATTTTGGTTCTTGTTTCGATCCGTTTATTATTTTTAAAAAATAAAACAAAAACTACCATTAGATACCGGATTAAACAAAAATAAAAAAAGAAAAAAAAAGAAAAGTAATGTGCATCTCTAGATCATTTTATGTCCCAACCAAGTTTTAATCACATCCTAGTTCACAGTGGAAAGAACAGTAAAGGCAAAAGTCTACTCACCATAAAATTATCTAGAGATGCACATTACTATTTGCCCTATCATCTCGGGGACGGGGATTATCCTCTTTTTAGTTGTAATATACACCTTCTGTCCATAAATAAAGTTTCGGTAGTGCGTTATGATGTCGCGTTATGATGTTTGACTGAAGTTATTTTCAAATCATTTTATATTTAAAATAGTATGAAATTAAAAAATAATAATTACATATTTAAAAACTACATGAAAAGATCTACAAAAGTAGAGGTGACATGACTATATCATTTTCTTTTCCTTCAGTTTTTCATTTCTTTTAGGACAAAAGTTCTCCGTGGAATTATCCATAAAAGCTTTAAAAAAAACTATTTGTTTTCCCTAATCTCAATACGAGCACTATTATTCAAAAGTTGTATTGTATCTACGATATGGGTTTACATATATACTATGTTCCTGTTTGGAAATTACGTTTTCGATTAGTGTTAGTGTTTTGGATAAAATTTTAACGGTGTAGATTAACTTTGAAAACGCTAAATGCTGTCCATAGATAGTCCTTTCAAAATGCGAACACTAAACTCCCGTGCTATTAACTAGTTTCTTTCAAAAGCCTTACACTTGTTAGAAATCAGTTGAATACATAGAGGCCGATCCTCCAATGGATTTTTTTTAAAAAAAAAACAAGCAGTGTTATTATCTAACTTTTAATATAAGAAATAGTATTAGTGCCCCCACCAAAAAATATAGATACCCCATTAACCTTTTCTAATCTAAAAAAGGCAAAAAAGGTTGTAACACTTTAATTGAAAATGAACTTAAGTGATCTAATTGTGTATAATCTCTAACAATTAAAAGTGTTTAATTACTTAGTTATGACTGATGTGTACTAATTTAACATATTGAAATGAAAGTTAGTTCTATTTGTCGTTTTACATTGGCTTTCAAAATGTCGTGATTTTCTAGATTTTCTGTATAAGAGCAATGACAGTGGCGAGCTGAGCCTAATGCTTGTCATGCCTTGCCACATCAGTTCCCNATTATCTAACTTTTAATATAAGAAATAGTATTAGTGCCCCCACCAAAAAATATAGATACCCCATTAACCTTTTCTAATCTAAAAAAGGCAAAAAAGGTTGTAACACTTTAATTGAAAATGAACTTAAGTGATCTAATTGTGTATAATCTCTAACAATTAAAAGTGTTTAATTACTTAGTTATGACTGATGTGTACTAATTTAACATATTGAAATGAAAGTTAGTTCTATTTGTCGTTTTACATTGGCTTTCAAAATGTCGTGATTTTCTAGATTTTCTGTATAAGAGCAATGACAGTGGCGAGCTGAGCCTAATGCTTGTCATGCCTTGCCACATCAGTTCCCAACCAAAGTTGCCTTGCGTGGCTTCTCCATTCCACTCTGTGTTTCGTTCCATGTATGCGACGATTGTCTCAATTTTTTATTTTTTTTATTTTTTTATTTTTTTGCACAAAAGAAGTTATTTTTAAAAGAGTACATCTATGTTTTTGAAAAAAGATAATTAAAGTAATTTTGATGATTAAAATGTGTAAAAAAAAGGGTAAAAAGTAACATGAAAATGACTTGCCATTACAGGGCATGCCACTCTATTCTCTTGCCACACGCTGATTGGATTCCTTTCGATCGGTTAAAATATTCTTGATCATCGTATGACATTTCATTGTTTTATTCGACATTGCTAATGCTCTAAGAAGAGAGATCTATGACCTATTTTCTTACAAGGTCCCTAGCATCAAATAACTCCAAGCTCCTTCTTTTTCGTTAAATGACTCATGTGTTAAAAAGATATCAGGAATCTCCTATAATAAACTTATGGAGAATTTACCTAAATAATACGGAGTACTAAAATATAGCAAACTTTCCAATATTGTAGTATATGTTTTTATTTTCCAATGTAATACTAGTGCTCAATGTCCATTGGTCATTGTTCCAGTGAATTTCCACCGTCACTGACATTGTTCAAACTAAATGTCCATCATCACTAGACATTATTTCTGCCACTAGACATTATTCAAATATTATTTAGAAAATTAAAAAGTTTAAATGCTATACTAGAAAAAAAGATATGTTTTGGTGCTATTTAGTGTAAATTTTACAAAACTTATTATAGTTATCTATAAAAGGTATATTAGTCACACATTAATTTTTAGGTAGTAATATTATTCCACCAACAACAAATAAGTTTGTTGTCTACTAGTGCATTACAATAACACACAAGTGAAAACTTATACGTAGTATTCTGTATTTTGGTTAATCATAACTGAATTGCTCACACCTGCAATATTTTTATGGTCCGGACCTAAGGTTCATAGTGTCTATATGGTTGACTTTCATATTTCCTATATAAACATTTTTCAAGTATTGAGATACACATTTTTAAATGAAAAAGTCAAAAAATTGTGTGAGAAGGAACCACAGAACTTCTCTATTTTTGAAAGATTGCAAAATACTTCATTCAGTTTCACTAAAGTTTTCTTGAAAAATAACTTTGAATGGTTAAAATTCATGAAAATGATAAGAAATGAAAACAGCTATTTAATAAAAACTTTACGTTAAAAAGTTTATTATTCCAAAAAAATAAAAAAATTAAATATGATGAGCATGGAGTACGTGATTTCGGGAATTGAATAATTAAATATCGGGAAGTGAATTTACTCATAATTCATTTATTTTCGGTTGATGCATGAGAAATGTTCTCTTTGTTGCAAGGTGTGTTTGGATCCATTTGGGGAGCATGTAGTACATTGTAGAGAGCCACCGAGATTTAAGTGTCGCCATGATTTGGTTAGAGACGTTCTCTTTGACATATTCTGGCGCACTGGGATTTCTGTTAAGAAAGAAGCACCAAAATTTCTTGACTGCCCTATTGGAATGAAGATCAATACTTTAGACTAGTTGATATTTTGGTCGTATTTTCACGGTGGGCCACACTGCGCTGAAAATTGCTTCATGCATAGTGACCAAACACGAGAGAGCATGCCTCGACAACTAACATGTGTTTATACCATTTGCAGTTGACACCATTGATTTTCTCGCCCAATGTAGTTTTCAAAAGACATAGTTTTGCTATTAAAAAGGGGCTAGTGGCGTAGCTTGTTGCACGCTTGCCTTTTATTTTGATGTGAAAAATATATATTAAAAACACATAAAACTTGTAGTATTAATGAACAGAACAGATCAAAGTAAAAAAATAATAAGATAAGAAATGATTTTTTTATGGACCAAAGAAATATTATACTCCCTATTGAATTCAATAAACGTAACGTCAATATTTTAAATATAAATAATTTCTAATGATATTGATTAATTTTGATTTTTTTTAAAATTAACTATGCTTTCTCAAATAGGCCGAATATAATGGTAGAAAATTACATACGAGTGACACGAGTTTTGTAAAAATAACTCTAAGGACACTTTCCAGAAAATTGACTCTAATGAACATTCTGATTTACAAAGACGTGAATTCTTCTTTTTGGGTGTCTGGCCAGCTTATTACCATTGCCAAGGCACACCTATCTACAAAATAGTCTAGCAGCAAAAAAAGCCAAATAAAACCAGAAATCAACACAACAATAGCAATATGATTTATCATTCACCTCCATTTTTACTACTACCTACCGTTTAAATAAAATTAAGGTATATTACAGTTTACTTATGGATTAACTTAACAAACAACACGAAGCAATAATGTGAGTAAAAGGAAATGAACCAAATAGATACTAAATGCAATAGAGTTATAAGCTATTGCTTTAACGGAGATTAAAAAAATTTAGTGCTGCAGAATCAAAGCATACACAAAACAGAATCAAATGTAAAAGGAATAATTAGGAACAATTAAAAGCATATTAGGAACAATCAAATGTAGAATCAAATGTATATCATATTCAAGTTAAAAGCATAAGAACAATTAGGAAATAATAGCATATTAAATGTAGAAGGAACAATTAGGAACAATCAAATGCAGAATCAAATGTATATCATATTCAAGTTAAAAGCATAAGAACAATTATAAAATTATAAAAGGAAAAATAAAATAATGTTAAATCAAAAGTGAAAAGGAGTGAGAATTTTTAGGTAATATTCATTTGGGGTTTAGGTAAACTCCGAGAAAGAGATTCTTTGGTGTTTTACTCATATTCATAATATAAAATTCAATAAAAATTGAATAAAAGAAGAAGACCCACAGGTAAAGGATTTACCTTGCTGCTACGTTGAAAGAAGAAGAATATTGGTAGTTGTACTTGCTAAAGTGGTGGTCTTGCTAGACAGACGCCACAATCTCCACCATCAATTGTCGCCAGAATCGTTCACAGGGGTTAGGATCAAAACCCTAGCCCAACCTAAACATCGTCTTCATTAGTGCGAGCTGTGTCTTTGTTCGTGTAAATATGATCGAAGTTGTTTCAAAAAAATCAATGCAGGAAATTGAAGTGCGGGGTAGAAGAATTGATGACGGGGGTGCAACTGTGCAAGGGTGGAAGATTAAGGGGCTGTTTGGCAACTTCTGAATAGGTAAGTGCTGAATAAGAGAAGTATTCAAAGGCAGTAAGAGGTCTAAACCATTAAGTGCTGAACCAGTAAGAGGTCTGAACCATTAAGAGCTAGTATATTGCATAACTATTCAAAGGCAAATGTCTGATCAATTCAGATAAGAGATCTTAACCATTCAGACTCTGTATAATACTTAACCATTCAGAGGCAAATCTCTTAACCATTCAGACATCTGAACCATTAAGAGGCTGAAATAAACAGTCTGAACTATTAAGTGCTGAACCATTCAAACATCTGAACCATTAAGAGGCTGAAACAAACAGCCCCTTGACGTCAGGGGTGGAAGAATTGATGAGCGGAAGTGGAAGAATTGAAGTGCTGAAAGCTTTACGTTTTAGATCGGAAACGAAACAGAGGCAGGAAGTAAAAATGTAGAATCTAGTCAGCATAATTATCTCAGTCAGCTGCTTAATCATATTGTACACTTGTCAACACCACAGCCAAAAAACCCTACTTTATATATATACTAGTTTTTTACCCCGTGCTTCGCACAGGCTTGGTTATGTGCAAGTGTTTTTTGCAATTTTATAACTGTTTAATTGTATATTCAATGAATAAAATATGTATTATGATTTTTTCTGAAGAATTTATTTAAAAAAGGAAAGATAGAAGAGTTGAGGACCCAACCAAAGCCCCTCAAAAAGAGAAGAAAAAGCAGCCTCGACTTAACCAAAGTTCCTAAAAAAGAAACCAAACTTCAAGCTTCCAGTAACTACATCACTAAACATCTCAATCGAAAATAATTATTAAAGTGAAAACTGCCAACAATAGCCAAACAAACCAAAACACATCCTTAGAAATATTCAAACTTTTCAAACTCAAATCAAGTTCCAACCAAAGAAAGACCCTCAAAAATTTTAGTACAGATTTTACCACCCAATACACTTGTTTCTTTAGCTTCAACTTCATCCAATGAAGAAACGGAGAAAAAAATTTGTGTACAACATTGAATGTTCATCCTCATGACATTCCAAAATTTACCCATTACCTAAGGTTTTTAAAAGGAAAGAGTAAAATAGAATCAAACTACAAAGTGCAGTAGACCAAGAAGCTGCCAGAAGTAGACCTTGTTAACACAATACCCTACTTCCTTTTTATGTCACCTCCTTTAGACTCCAAGAAGAAAGCCGATTATATCTCTTCTGTTTAAGAGAACCTGCACGTATACCAAAAGCTTATATTTAAAATACATATTAGAGACCAAATCACTACAAGAATCTCGCGTAAAAGCTGCAAACAAATAGAGGGGATATTTCCGCCTCTAATTAGCTGCAGAGCAGAGGCGGAATATTCACCCTCTGTTTTAAATTTTTATTAGTGGGTAACATTTCCGCCTCTAGTTTCGTAGCTAATTGAAATAAATTTCAATTTTATTACCGGGAGATTAAAGTTAAATAAAAAATAGTGGGAGAATTAAAAATTTAAATTGTTTTAAAAAAAATATTCGAATTAGAGGCGGAATAGTCCCCCACTAGTATCAAACACAAAAGAGTCGGACTTATCCCTCGCTAAATCCAATATTTCCCCCTCTAATTCAAAAATAAAAATAGTGTGGTAATTTTGTGTGGTATGTATCTCCCCCTTATCCCATTAAGGAAAAAAAAGCCCCTCTTCTGTTTCTCCCTCAAAGCAGCCGAGGAGTGACCGGCTAGCTGAAGCAGCCGCATGTGAGAAGCCGCTGAAGTGAGAAGCCGTCACCCCCGCGTCGCCGACCGCCGTCACCCGCTCTCTTCTCCGCCGTCTAGCAAGCCAACGCTCAGCCTCCCCTCCAATTTCTAGGTTTTAACTCATCTTGAAATTACTCTAATTGTTCAATTGTGTGAATTTCTTTTCTTGTCTCTTGAAAATTCTCTAAATTCTTCAATTATGTGAATGAAAATATTCTAATTGTCCAATTGTATGGAATTTTATGTTTTACTTTTGTTACCCCAATTTGATTTTTGATTTTATATTTGTTGGTATATTTTTATTCTAATTGTTCAATTATGTGGAATTTTTTTTTGTAAATCAGTTTTAATGATGATTTTTTAAACTAAAAAAATGAAAGAATCAAATTTTATTGTGTCTTGGTTTTTGTTCCCACCTACCAGTTTTAAAGTAGGTTTGATTGTACAAATCCGGAGAGTTTTTTTAAAGTTGTAGTTTTGAAACAACAAAATATTGTCATGCTTAGGTTTATTTGTTGGTATTTGGATATCTACTTGTCACATATCGTACTGTATTTATTACCATTATATTTTATTTTTATACTCCCTTGCCCAAAAATAAGGTTCCCATTATGGAATACGAATATGTTTAAATAAATTGGTATTAAGATGCA